GCTGGGCCGGAAGGAACCAGGGTCGCCATTCCCTTCTCTCATGGCGTTGAGGCCTCCTGGCATTTTTTGTATTGAGATGATAGCCCGCACAGCAGTGGATATCCATCATTTTAGTCAGTAAATGTAAAAGAAAATCTTCTGTTCTTATTTCATTTTACCTTTTAAGGTTTATAGCAAAGTGTATGTGAAAGCAAATTGAAACAAAAAAAAGCAGGTAACTTTTAAGCTATTTGGCCTCTTCTGAAGTGTAATTGTGGCAATTTGATTATAGCTCAAATAAAAGCATCATTAATAAAGGTGGTTAGCAGCCATTAAGAATGTCAGAAAAGCTTGAAATTGACTTGTTTTTCATATCTTGCATTGTTAAAAGGAGGCTGTTTACATTTTGTTCTGAAAACTAATATTAGGCTATTGTAATTTAATGTGAAATTAAAAATAAAAAAGTTAATAAAAGGTAATGAATGTCTTTGAGATATTTTCTCACTTTATATTGCATTTTATGATAGCATTATTGTAAATGAGAGAATTGAATTATTGCATATTTTGGAATATGGCAGTGTGCATGTCTGGTAGCTTTAGTTTTATGTTATAAAAGAAAAGCAGAAATCCTGACCCCTGGGCTTAAGGTCTAATGAAGCATTGAGTATAGAGGAAGATTGAAGCTTTTGCTTTGTGCATAAGACTTAGACCTAAAGATTTGACCCCTAGGCTGTGTGTGTGTCTGGTTTTAATGTAGATAGCATTGCAGGGCCACCAGGCTCCATGAGAGACGTGGGGGGAAGTGAAGGGTCCCTGATAACAATTGTCCTTTCAGCAATAGTCATTCTCTATCTATTCATCCAGCTATTCCCTCTCCTGCCCTCCTTCTCTCTCCCCCCTACCCTCCATCCTACTGGTCTAAATACAGGGAAAAGATCCTTGTTTTTGTACACTTGCTCTCAAAATGAATGCTTTTTGCATGTGTTCCCAGGAGTTTTAGGAATTACTCTGCCCACTGATTATCACCACATGACTTCGTAGTGGGGAGTGGTGTGAGGAAAGCTAGCTCCCTGTTTTTCCCTTCTCCAAGGTTACCTTATTATCCCTGCCATTTATATTAGCAGAACGAAAAACATGATGGGTAAGTGGTTTGCTCAAAATAGAAAGCTCAGACCCACACCACATCAAAGAACTTTCTAAGACATAAAAGTAGGAGAGGCAGCAGCGAAATCAGCAGAAAGCTCTGAGACAGATAGCTGGGTGTTAAGTGTATTGGAGAGTTTAAGAGGAGAGTACTAAACACTATTATCTCAGCTTCACTTTCACCAGCATGTTTTTATTTCTTTTTTGACCAATTAATTCAACTAAGACTATCCTCTCCCAAGGAAATCCTTAGCAACAAAAGTAATCATTTGTCTATCACCATGTTGTTTTAAGCACTGAAAATTTTGAAACAACCTAAATGTGTATCTTTATTCTTCTCTATTTTTCCCTCCAAAGTTTCTACAATGAACCTGTCAGTATCATGAGAAACGTACATGGATATCTTTTCAAAGCTGCCTTTCAAGTTAATTGAAGCAGTGAACATTAGCAAATATTGTTTTACCAGCTACAGAATACCTACCTACCTGGGGTGCTTCTTTTGATTTTGTTCTCTGCTTAGATCTTTTAGTCTCCAGTTATGCTGCTGAGTGTTGTCTATGTCCTTGACCTTCAGTGCTCTTGTGGGGTGGTGGCAGGAAGGGCAGAGAGGAAGGAAGCAGAGTACAAATGTGCAAGAAGGAAATAAAAAGTGGAGAGAGACAGGTATACATTTGGGGATCTATCAAGAGTCCCCAATAATTTCAAGTGATGACTAAACTGGATTTTTTTTCTTAATTGTTTTTGATCAATACACATTGTTAAGTGTCAAGTTTTTTCTACCAGCTCCTTTTTGCTAAGTATGTTTTTGGATTAATATTCTCTCTCTCTCTCTATCTCACTTCTTTAAGTTCTCCAAATTTGAGTTTCATCTTTCTCTTGAACATTTGTCATTCACCATTTCTTTTTGTTTTAATCTTCTCTCCATGCAAAGAGCTGCAATCTTGCAGCTAAGATTTAATTTTCACTCTTAAATATCTTAACATTCTGCCTTTTGTTATTTTTTGCCTATTCGTGGCCTTTTCCATCAGCAAGCATGAAAGCAGTCAATAAAAATCAATTGCTAACTCAATGATTGTTGGAAGGTTTACCATAATGCATATTGGAAATGCCTGAAACCCTTTTCCTGAATGGGAGGTGCCACGGCTTGTGTTTTATGGGCTTCTAATGTTAGACGGTAATCTCATTTAGCATTTTCCCAAAGTGAAAACAGTGCATTAGGGCAACATAACAAGCCTTGCAGATCAATACCACGGCCGAGCTTTGCCCTTACAGATTAATCCAAGAAAAATGTGTCCGAGTCCACTCTGAGTGCAGGGACCATTATGTTGATTTCTAAGCCTCGATCACCCTTCCTACCATCTAATCTATATAGGTTGAAATGCGTACAAAAAGAATCTCAGAAGCTGTCTTGGGGGCCATGTACACACACAGACACACACAAGTAGAGAACAGACCACCAGACAGGAAATCAAGGGCCCTGCAAGTGAGTCCTATCGATTTGTGGTAATAAAAGTATATTTTGACACATTTCAAATCATAAATAACTCATAGACTTTAACTTACATTACTAACATAATGTAACTCAACTCCCGGTAAGTGCTTATAAGTTAGCCCTTCCTCAGGCGCCCACTGTGTCTAAGGAGTGACCCTTTGTGAACAGAAACACATGGAGTCTTCCATGTGATGAGCAGTATGGGGAAGCTCCTGCTTTATGTCTTGTCTTGCATGTTAACAGGGAAGGCAACATATCTGACAAGGGTGGGTCTAGTCTTCTCTCTGCATCTTCCTTCCTCCTGCCTTTTAATCAAAGACATTGTGTGTCAGAGTAGGATGGTCCACGCACAGGATGCAGCCCTACTTGCCTGTGCTGGCTCTGGGCTCTCATCATGCATTTGCCTGGTTCAGCCGACCTAAGGCTCAGTCATTTTGTCCCGTTTACCCAGATATGCATGGAGCTGTGATCTGTCACACAGTGGAGTCCGGACTCCTACTCTGGAAGCCCAGACGACTCCTTTTAGGTGCTGATGTTCATGGAAGGGGATTAGGGAAATTGTGTGCAGGAAAATTCACAGACGTCCGAACTTTGTGCTCGGAAAGGGAATTGAAACTCTTGGGATTGGACTTAAATTCTGTTCTCAGGTATTTGGCAGAGGAGTAAGGTAATGAATGAAAAAGTAAAACGATGTGATGTAAAATTTGTAGGATGATCTCCCTCTGTATGTCTGCTTTCTTTAGAGGGTAGTAAGAAGTGAATTCCCTCAGGACCAGAAACGTGGTTTGCATTTCAGCTTTCTGTTTTAGTGAAGTATATATTAACTTAGTGTGTTGGATGAAAGTAATGAGGAGACAAATCGTCACCCAGGGGTTTCCTTATTGATGACAAATATTCCTCCTGTGTTCTCTAGGGTTTTGTTTTTTTTTTTTAGAACCCATTAAATTTAAAGTAATGCTACTTTCAGATTGCTTTGGAAATAACAAATTTAAATATAAAAAAAACTGACATGAAAAACTGCAAGCCATTTGGATTACATAAAACTAATTTGAAAAAATATGAATTCCTAGATTAAAAGTGATAATATTGTGTATTTTCTCAGTGTATATCATCCTTATAATCCAAGTTCCTCTAGCATCTTAAAAATATTTCATTTCTGTTTGTATAATTCATTTGGCTTATTTGCTATTATCATTTTTCAAGTGTATATTATAAGCTTTTGGGAAGCATTTATATTTGGTACTACAGACTCACTGAAAGCGTTCTAACTAAAATCAGAGATTTGTAAGTATAATTTAGTGAAATTTTAGCCCAGGGAATTAAAAATTTTTTATCCCTCTCTACCCATTTGTATTCTCGACAATTTATTGAATGACTTCTGTGAGAGAGAGAGATCACTAGCTGGGTCACCAGGAGTACAGGACGGTCTTTCTCGGGATTTGCAGTCTAGTAAACGGAGGTTGTTGACTTGTGCTAGACAATATTGTTGTCAACACTAAGTAGAAAATGGAGTAAGTGGTGAAAGAAGTTAGTACAGGATCATTGAGGTCACCATCGAGGAAATGACAGGCTCTACCACAGATAAGAAAGCAGTGTGAGCTATATAGAGTAGATTAAATATCACTCCATAGCTCGAGATTGAAAGATGAGTAGGTACTTTCTAGATACCTTGGAATGGGTGAGAATTTGGGTCGAGGACATTCCCTAAACTGAGCAGAATGAATGATGGGCATGAGGAACCAAACCCTGGGTGTAGTTTGGTCAGGTTTTAGCAGTTGCAAGGTGGGCAGGAACCTGATCAAGAAGCAACTGCTGCTCACCTTGTATTTAATTTAAAAAGCAGTAGGACGAGATACCACAGATTTATGCATTTGAAAGAACCTTCTAGAAGAATATTCTTCTGGAAAACAGGAATATAAAACATACGTCAAGACAAAAGGAGACTAGTTTGGAGGTCATTGTTTAGATCCATAATGCAAAATGATTAAGAATTCTGAAAAAGTAGCCATCATTGGAGCAGGAGGCCCAAACAGCAGGACCTCAGACTTTGTGGCCATGAGAATGGGAGAGAGGGAAGTCGGGGTTCCAGGGTGTCTGATCTGACTGGCCGGCTGAGGAGGGTTGGCACCATTCACATGAGCCAGGTCTTGCGTGCCGAGAGAGGTTTGTAGTGGGGTCCATTAGCAGAAGTCATTTCTCAGAAAGCATTTACCTTGTACGCATTTTTACTGTGGGAGCAATTTTGATCTTTCTTTAAAGACTAAAGAAAATTAGCTTTTTCCTACTTCTGCAACATTTGCATCCTATTACTGTTTTGTAGATTCTTTAGCCTTGATCTTCATTCCAATTGAAGACCATTTGTCTCTGGTTCTGCTTCTATTTGCAGGCGCTATGAGGCTCATCCCGTCTGCGCTGATCTGCAGACCAAAATCCTCCAATGTTACCGCCAGAACAACCAGCAGACCCTCAGCTGCTCTGCTCTGGCTGAACAGTACATGCGCTGTGTCAACCAGGCCAAACAGGTAGGTGCGTACCCTGTGCTGTTGGCACCAGGAGAATGGGAAGCCCAGTGCCCTGGGGCAGTGCTGAGGTCTGACTAGGCTAGTGCGTGTGAAAAATATAAACCAGACAAGTCATCCTCATCAAGAATGACAGTAACGGGTTGGTTGTCACCAACTCCTATTCTACTCAGTCCTCTCCTTGTGTCCAGCTCATTTTCTTGCAAAAGGGGAAAAAAAATGTTTACTAAAATTATGCAGTGCCCTTTTCTCCTCTCTATAATAATTGTATCTCTAGGGTCATCCCCTCATCTTCCTGGGCCAGTACTCAAAGCCAGCAAATAGGAAGCCCCCCAAGTTAAGGGACGCACAGCCTCAGCTCCATAGGCAGAAAGGAGTCTGGCTGAGACACTGGCTTAAAGAAAACAAAAGTCAAAAATCTAAAGCAGCAACTGACCATCAGTCTTACACCAGTTACAGAATCCACTCAGCTGGGCAGGGAAAGGGAAGTCAGAGATGGGATGTGGGAAACCAGCCCCATGGCATCTCCATATTACAGCCTCACGCTTCCCCAGACCCTTCATGTCAGATTAGTGAAATCCTCACAGGATGTGTGTTTTCTCTGGTTTCTGTGCTTTAGAAAGCTCACCGTAAACCCTGAAACATTTTCAATTGTCGCAAGTCACCAAATTGCCTATCATGTACCTGAGTTAACAGTGAATACGGGTTATTCTGAAAGACGAAGTTTGTAAAAGCCTTTACCTTTTTTGCTGACAAACCTTGACCTTCTAACCCACGGACACTAATGTCGGGGTCACACAGCGTGCCTTCTGCATTGTAACTTGCTGTTGCCATGTTATCACGCAGGGTAAATTTCTAACACTATAAATTGCTGATGGGAGGGTTGGTTTTGGCTGGAAGGCTGGAAAATCACAACAGCACTGGCCGAGAAAAGATAATCGAGAGTTATTAAAAGCCCATGTTGTCTTTAAAAGCCTCATGCTTGGGGCCTTTTCTGCTTCTTGCTCGTGGCGTCTCTTTGCAGCTCTTAGTATAAGCCAGGAATGCTTTTCTTTAAAGGCCTGTCAGAGAAGCAGAGCTGCTAATACCTAGTACATTTTATTTGTCCAAAGCAGCTTCTGAGATGCTCTTAACAAGACCTGACCTTTGGTGGTCATATGAATGGAAGCACTTGGGGCCTGGGTTCTTCTGACTTGATGTTAGTGCCACATCAGTGGTGTGGGGGTCAGTGCAGAGAAGACTGTGACAAAACCAATGTGGAGCGTGGGCATCTGGCACACCCACCTGCCTGTGTCCATGATGCAAGCTGTGATATTACTGAAGTGGCACCTGCAAGGGCCTCTGAGGCACTGGCTTCTTCCTACCTGGCCAGTTGGAGTGGTATGGTCTTCACCATGCCCGTGAGATCAGTGGTACAAGTTTGTAGAATAAAGCAGGAGTTGGCTTGTGCCAGAATCAAATATGCCCTGTGGTGCTTAGAGAGCTTGCCTTGGGCAAGTGTGCGCTTGTACCCAAGTCCTGTCTTCTGCCAGCCTGGCTTGTACCCAAGTCCTTTCTAATGCCATGGATGGCATTAGTGGCACAATTATTACAGAGGAGAGGACATTGGGTTACATCTTGCTTTTTCCTTCTTCCTACCCACCTGAGTGGCAGTGTGACTTAATATTAATTTTAGTGAATGTTTGTGGTGCCAGTTGTTTTCAACAGTTTTGTCTCTCAGAATAACCTGTATCCGATGGTTAAATCAGCTACTTGATAGGCCATTTGACAAACTGTGCCAGCTGAGAATTTGCTTCAGGGTTTCCAATGAGCTTTTTAAAGCATGGAAATTAAAGCAAGCCAACTAAACAGATCAAACATAAGTATCAATTTATTATTGATCGTAATGGTTCTAAAAGTCCTGTTCCTTCCCCACCCACCCAAACTGTAGTGTGATTTCATCTTCTTTTTAGTGAGGGTTTGTGGTGCCGATTACTTTCATTAACTCCTATGTTCGGCTACTAGGAAGTGAATGACACTAGCTGATAAAAAGTGAATGTCCACAAAGCCTTTTCACCCTGAGATGGGCCATAACCAAGAAATAATAATGCCTTGTATTTCTGTAGTACTTTAACTTTCAGGACGATTTCACATCCTTTCTCTTACTTGTTTTTATGACAACCTGAGATGTAAATAGAGATGGTTTTATGTTCACCATTTTACAGTTGAGAGAATCGAAACCCAGGGAAGTTATGACAGTAAATTTAACAGCAAGACCGAGCTATGCCTTATCATAAAAAGCAAAAAAAAAATAGGAGTAAGTTTAGTGTGTATGGATTTTGGGTCGGGTAAGTAAGTGTGTAGCAGGGGCATTCATATCCACAGAAATAAGGAAATGAGGGAAAATGAGATCAACCATCATAAAATAAAGGGGGAAAATTGAAGGTAATATGAAGTGACATATGATCACTTGAGCAGAGGAGCAGGTTTTACTGCTGCGAACAGGGGATTCTGGAGCTCAGCCCTGCTCCATTTTAAGGCCGCACCCGAAAGGCCAGAAGCAGGCTCTCTGTCAGTTTTGCCTTGAGCAAAACTTTTCTGTAGAGCCACATTTTCCTCTTCCTCCTCATGAAGCCCTCTAGCCTCCGACCCCAGCTGCCCTGTTCTCAGAGGAGGCCCCGATCACGAGAGTAACAGGGTCCTGACCCTTCAATTCTGCTTCTTTTGTTTCCTTGTTCGATCCGAAGAACAACCGAGACACACCAAACATGGTAACTACCAAACAGGACAACCGCCCATTAGGTCGCGTTGTCTGTTTCCGACGTAGCCCAAGAAGAGTTTTCCCTTTGGAATAATTCCAGCAGCCAAGCCCACTCCATTTGAAATGACTCATAAGGCGCGGCTTTCACTGGTTCCCTTGGGGCATTGTTCTGTAGACTAATAGGTTTTACTGATAGAACAATTTCCGGATATCCCTCAGCCTTCCTTTTCCTCGTTCGGCCACTTACATCAGTCTTTCTTCAGCCATTCTTCAGCAGTGCCTCATGCGTTGACATGAGACATTCAGGCTGTTACTTCCAGTGTCTTAAGTTACATGTTCTTCCTAAGAGTAAAGAGTTATTAAATTGCTCTAATCATGATGTCTGAGACTCAAGGGCTACTGCCTTGCCATATGAGATGCAGCATTTAAAAATGCAGGACGACACCAGTTGATCGACTTCTGTGTGTTTTATTTCGCATGTCTGCTGAGGTGCACAGCTTTCTGTAAACTTCCCAAGATTGAGTCACCTGTTCTCACACTGAAACCTGATTCCTCTTCAAGCATCTTGCTTCACTCACCTTACAGGAAGGAGCCCTTGCAGAAGAAAAACCATAGTGTTTGCCCACCAGTGGGCCAAAGTACGCCCGGTTTTTATTTATTAAAGGGAAGGAGAGGGCAGCATAGAAATGACTTACTCGTGATTTGCATTACCTTTGCTCCCTGGGACACCCCAGAACCTCTCAATGTACTGACAGAATCTAATGCTTAGAGGGGTAATGATTCTAAGCATCCCAGCTCTTTCCCAGTTCTGCCGCTATTGACAGAAAGGTTCTGAAGCTGGGTGGACTCTTGGGGAACATTCTGTGTTCACTAGAGGATAGAGGGGGTTTACAGGAATGCTGTAGCCAACATTCTCATCTAGTCTGGGTGACCAGGACTTCAGTGTCTTCTTTGTATTTAACATCTGAGCTGGGTAATCTACAGAGACAAGTTCTCTAGCTCTTTGTTCAGGACCGGTTCGAATTCCATGTATGAGAGCAGAGGTGGCGGGCACAGCACCCGTGGTCCTGAGCAGCTTGAATTAAAAATACACACGGGCAGTAGGACAAGCAGCACCTCTGTTTGGGGGGCCTCCTGCATGTGCCTCTGAGGTTTTGCAGTCAGCCATAACCGAGCAAACTGGGTGCTCCTGCGTGAGGGTTCACACCTGGTCTCTGTAGGCAGGAGGGAGGAAGGAGTCATGGAGCCTGGGTGACAAGGACACCCCCAACCAGTTGACAACTGTCACTTCCCACCCTTGGCTCTGCTGCTCCAATCACCCTGCTCCCCTATTTCAGGGGTCCCTTAGACACCCCGCTTCAGGCAGCAGAAAAATGAATCAAGAAGTTAACTTTCTAGATGGATCTATAGAAGCATGTTCTTGTGTTCTGAGGCTTCTTTATCATCCTCCCCTAATGACATTTATCAATTGCCCAACTGGGCAGCTCATCCTTGGGGTGACACTTGGGTGTTTGTGCAAGAGATTTGCCATCCGTCATGGGGCAGCCCTACGAATGTGCAGGCGCATCTAAGCAAACTGAATTCCACACGTTAACTCTGTTACCCGGGCCTCCTCCACCACAGGAATCCTTTTCTAAACTAGTTTCTGAGAGTTATAGTTGCTTGATGACATTGTCTTGTTTTAATCTGAGTTTAATAGAAGAAATATCACCATGGTAATAGACTTTCATTTTTCTTAACAGGTATTTCTTTTCTAGTGCTTATCCTTTAAGAGTTAGAACTGCAACGTGCTGGTGTTTTGTCTGTTGTTGCAGAGAGCTGTATAAACAGTTAATTACTTGTAACTTAATTTGAATATTACACAGTGGTATCTTTTAAAAGAAAAAGAAACAAGACCCAGGCCTAAAAAAGTTGACTTGTGTTGCCTCCAAAGCAGGAAGAATAAAGAACAGCACTTGCTGGGGGGAACAGGCAGATAGTGCAAACGAAATAAGTAGCTAATCGGATTTTCAGGGAGTCGGGGTGGCTCGTGGGGCACCGGCAAAGCTCACTTTGTGCTGCTTCTAAATTGAATTTATTGATTATTTTTCTGTCTTGAACACTCCCTGTGCCTCCTCACAGCTTCATCCTCTTCCACTTCCCACTACTCCTGCTCCTCCCTAGTAAAAATTTAGGAACTCCCAGGGCAAGTTCCCATTTCAGTTTTCCCTAAGTAAGCCTTACCCTTGTACAACCTTCCTGCTCCCAGCCCAACTTTATCAGG